TGGAGCAATTTTAATAGCATTGGAAGCTAATCCTCCAAAGGAAAACCTTCCTCATATGAGTAAAATGAGAAATCAGTGTTGCAACAAAATGTACACAATAAGAAATGTATGTTGTTATTCTTGTCAAAAGCCTACATCTAATGTTTACTATTAGAAGGTAAATTAGAGTTTGGAAAAAAAGTATAACTGGTTTCTCATTATTGCTTTATCCCAAAGATGGCCTACTATGGGTTGTATTTTGTAACAGAAATAAACTAATACATTTGGTTAAAGATATAACATAGTATAAGAAATGATACCATTTGGTAAAAAATTTTAAAGTATTTAGTTAAAATGCTGCTTTTGTTTAATTTATAGAGAGAATTTTTTTAATGCATATATCACTACATATAAATGCCCAATAATTTAAATTATCTCAGATTCCCCCCTTTCTTATTATTTTTAACATACTCGTTTAAAAGATTCTTGCACTCTGAAGCTTTTTCCTTTTAGTAGATTTGTCCAAAATGCCACTTTATGCAGGTCACCCTCCAGATCCTCCTGGTAGCCTGGCTCTGGCCGGCTCCTTGGGGGAGGTGGACGGGATTGACCAATAATCACAGAGTTAACAATTCACCATGGAGAATCCTCTCTCGCCATCTTCTCCAGCCCAAGTAAAGGCTGTTTCTAAACTCCAAGCTGAGGGTCAAAGGTCTTAGACTAACTTCACAGATCAGAGGTCAGGCATGAATTGCTGCAATTTGTAGCTCAATTCTGCCGATATGACAGAATTTCACAGCTACGATGATTGCTTTTTTTCCACTCCTGCACACAGGCCAGGCCAGGCAGTTAACAGTGTAATTTGTACAAGCCGGCCCTTGGCACCCAAGCTTAATGAGTAACTCGCTGGTGCCTTAGGTTTCACTGGTACAAGGTGCATTTTATAAAAAGGGTCAAATGTTAATGCACCGAGACGGAGGGGGGTGGGGAGCGATAGCTCAATAACCACCATCTCTGAATCATATGTGAAGAAGTAATGACTTGTATTTATTTTTAAAATTCTGTTTCTATAGTGTGAATGTTAGCATGTTCCTTTCCTTTGCAACTCAAAGAGGTAGGTGATTTTTTTTTTTTTTTTCTATTTTGAAATATAGCAAGAAAGAATAGTCCGATTAGAAACTATTGACTGAGCAGTGAGTAGAAAGTGAAATTGCGGGCTTATGCCTTTGGTGGGTCTCCATGGGTTGTATTTCTGAAACGCCATCCAAAATGCGCCAGGTTTTGCAAGAAGCTGGGGAACAAATGGGATAACCAGGGATTTCTGAATCTGTGATACTACGAGTCTCCGACATTCTCTACTCTTCAACCGAAAAGTTGAACTTCTACATTTCTACCCCAGGTTGAGAATCTCTTTTACTGCTTAAAGCTGAATTCTGGGACTCTTGAAAAAAGTTCACAAATGACTCTGAAGCTGCCATATCAATTCATAAAAACGCACCACTTTTGTTACGGCACAACTTCTACTCTTCCAGGCTCAGTGCAGCAGCAAATGGATTTCTCCAAAGAGCAGAATAGCTAAGAGCACAGGGTCTGGCCTCAGAACTCCTGGGTTTGAGTCCCAGCTTCGTCCCTTACAATTAAGGGGCTCCACCAATGGGCAGCCTCCAGAATGAAAACAGCCTTAGACTTAGCTTCACGGGGCTGTGGAGGTGATCAGATAAGACAGTGTAGGAGAAAAGCACAATAAGCGCTCACTGAATGTCAGCTGACATTAACACTATGAATATCATTAGAGTACGTAGCTAACCTACCACATGCATCAACACAACTTGGTTTAGATTTGGTCTTTGTTCTGTCCATTTCATGGGGGACACCAAATATGGCACAGTTGGATAAGTTTTAGGAGGCATTCTTTTGAATATCATGGGGAAGTGTACTTTAAAACTCCTATGGCCAGTCTAGCACTCTCTTAGATGCTATTTCTTCCCCCACGAACTGATTTGCTGTTGCATGCCAAAGCTGTAAAAAGAGAGACACCCAAACCATCTGGTTGCCTTTCTGAGTTGTTTTCATTCTGCCCTTCGGTGAGAAACATTTTGAGTTTTTAAAAATTCATGAGTGATACCACACCAGTGGGCTAATTTTATCCCTCATGTTGTGTATTATACTTACTAGGATTCATGCTTTCTAGAAATGCCAGAAATGAAAATCCTAAAATGTTATTTTTTTCATTCCATTATTCCTTGACACTTAGAAGTAGCATTTGAATAAAAACTTGATTTTTACTACCAATGACAATATAAAAGTTATGTGCTTAGCATTAAAAATACAGTATAATATCACACATTAATTTAAACATTAAGCACCTACTGGGTGGGCTGGGAGACACAGGGTTCATAGAAGTGAGTCGGAACTAGATTTTGACCTAGTAAAGTTTACAATTGACTGGAGGGGACCACTATTATACCAATTATTGTAAGGTTAAACCATATAAGATTGCCAACAGGCTAGCATTTCCTTCCTCCAAAACGACAATTTCATGTGATTCAACCTGGTGTTATGAGGAGTGCTATGAGGGATTACATGATGTTACAGGGATGACTTTTTTATTTTATTTTATTATTATTTTTTTACTTTGTTTTTAATTAAATTATTATCTGTGTACATATTTTACCATTGCCCGCCCCCATACATACCCACCCTCCCCAGAGTTTTGTGTCCATTGGTTGTACTTATATGCATGTATACAAGTCCTTCCGTCGATCTCTTATCTCCCCCATCATCCCTCCACAGGGATGACTTTTGAGGTTTAGGGATGAGTGTAAGCTGGGAGGTAAGGGGGAGAGGGGTATGTATGGGAACTAGCAAGGCTTTGAAGAGTTGGGGACGGCGTGTGCAAGATGAGGTTGACAAAAGGCGCCAAAGTCTTCCTTATAGGACCTACTAAGGATATTGGACTTAATCCTACGTCAGCAGGAACATTGTTTAGAGGATTGAGCAGGAAGGTGGTATGACCCACGTTACGGATGCGGAAAGTGAGGCTCAGGAAAGTTAAACGTGTCTGAAGTCACTCAGCTGGTAGGTGAATAGTGTGGGCGTTTAATGTTACTCTGTTGCCTCACAGGGTAGGATGAATTCCAGGAGCAACTTGTGATTTGCACGTTTGTTTTGACTTTACCAAACACGGTGATGCTGATCATTAGGTGTTAGCCAGGACACAGACTGGGTGTAGGCCATAGACTCTAAGCAGTAGCTTAACAGCTGCTACTCTATGATTTATTTGAGGGTGTGGTCGTTTCCCCCTCCCCCAGTGAATCATTGATAGTAAGGATTAAAATCAGCTCCTCGTGTTGTTTTATTGCACGTGTTCCCATCAAGGAAAGAATCCCACTGAATGCTTGGCCAGCCATTGCAATATAAAGATAGTTAGGGCAGAATCATTTGGGAGCTGCGAATGCTTTCAGAGGCCATTCAATCGGCAGGTTCCACACTGTGCTCTCTGCGGTCCTAAAGGTCCTGCAGGTCCCCTCAGGGCTCCCGTGGAGGATGGAGCGGAATCGGGGATGACTGGCGGGGCCTCCCCGTATCACCCCCTGCCTCCACGTCAGCCAGCTCCTGCTTTCTCGGTTTTGTTCCTGCGTCTAGGCCCATGTTTGATGGAAGAAAGGGTGCTATATCTAAAGATCTAAGACAAAACAGAAGTTAAAAACAAGTTTGAAAACTACTGGTCACCCAACTCCTTTTCTTTAAGGGAACAAACTTTGGCTCAAGTAGGTGAAATGACTTATCTAAGGACACAGAAAAAGTCATGGCAGAGCTCAAATTAACACTGTCAGACCATCATGTCCTACATTGATATACAATTATATTTACATATAATTACATTTGCCAATAAAAAAACAAAGAACTAGTCCTTTAGTTCCCAGGCCCGTGCAGCAGCCGCTGTGCCATATTGAAGCTTATGCAGCTTAAGGAGGTCTCTCAGTTGTTGGGGGAGGGAACACTCTTAAAGCTGGGCTGATTATGTATCCAGATGTGAAATAAAGGGAAAAGTTTTGTGCTTAGGATATATTTTAATGTCTCACCCGAAATACCCTTATCTCGAACTTACGTCTCCTACATTTGAATATTTCCTGTATCAATGACTTTAAAGTCGTTTATCTTCGGATCCCAAATCCTGTGGGACCCTCCGTGCAAAGAACATTGTCAGCAGTGTCTCAATGGCCCACTTAGGGCAGAATACCAAGTTTACAGCAATACCAACACTTTACAGCAACTCTCATCCGTTGTCAGTGATGGTGGTTCTTGCTTCAGTGGTTCTGAGATCCTCCCTGGATTCAGCAGGGAAGAGTGTGATGACTGATCGGTGATGAGTAGCAGAGCTCCCCAAAGGAGGAGGGGCAGCCCAGGAGCTGGGTTTACCAGCCCTGTGAAGTGAATCACCTCGGTTATGAAGGGTCTTTAAGCATACAATGTAGGCTGTATCTGTGTTCCTTCCTAAGCATATACTGTTCATCTTGAAGTCATGGGCGCTCTAAAGAAGAGAGAGGGGGCCGAAGCCAGTTTGGCTCAGTGGTAGAGCATCGGTCTGCGGACTGAAAGGTCCCGGGTTCGATTCTGGTCAAAGGCATGTACATTGGTTGTGGCACATCCCCAGTAGGGGGTGTGCAAGAGGCAGCTGGTCGATGTTTCTCTCTCATCGACGTTTCTAGCTCTCTATCTCTCTCCCTTCCTCTCTGCAAAAAATCAATAAAAAAAAAAATATTTTTTTTTAAAGAAGAAGGGAGAGGGGAAAATACAAGAAATGGAAGAAATGGGTCATTTTCTTACTATGGTTCCCCATTCAAGGACAGGAAGAAGGAAAGGGTTGCTTTTCTTGGTTTGTAGATAATAAGATAGAGAAATGGTAGTCCGTTTTCTTCTGAAAGAAAAATGGCCCCCAATTTGTAATGCATGTATGAAAATGGTATTGACATAGAAACATTTCTAGCAATTTTTTTCTTTTCTTTTTTTACCCATAGGATTTGCCCCAAAGAGCACTCCAAAAATTGAACTGAGATATCCCGAAAGCTGCCTGAATTTGCCTGAATTCTTGTTCTATTTCCTGTAAAGGACCAGACAAGTCAAATTGGTGATTTTTTTTTTTGGTGAGTACACCAGCTGGTATCCTTTTCTTCTTGAGGAAAACCATACTTTTTCACTCCTATCAACCAAGGTATCTACTGCTTAGACAAGGCGCACCAGGCTTGTGGCAACACGAGTGACTATACACAATAAGTTATTTTGAACCCACAATATAAATCCTATTTCTCTGCGTAGTTTATATATTTGTGGCCCAGGAGAAAAAAAACTACAGCTGCTGGGTGCAAGTGTGAGCATTTTAGGAGAAATGAGGAACAATTATGTGTTGCTTCTAATGTGTCTTTTTTTAAAAAAATATATTTTACTGATTTTTTACAGAGAGGAATAGAGAGGGATAGATAGATGATAGAAACATCCATGAGAGAGAATCATTGATCAGCTGCCTCTTGTGCACCCCCTACTGAGGATGTGCCCGCAACCAAGGTACATGCCCTTGACCGGAATTGAACCCGGGACCTTTCAGTCCACAGACCGACGCTCTATCCATTGAGCCAAACCTGTTTTGGCTCTAATTTGTCTTTTACACCCACAAATAGAGGTCAAGGATATGTCAGTCAGCATTGTCTTTCAAAAGGGTTGGGCACAAGGGAGGGCCTTGGTACAAGCTAAGGAAGCTGATTGTATTTTCTTGAACAATTCCCATGCCTTTTCTCATTTGTTACCTCACCTGTCGGATGGTGTCAAAGTAACTATCAGAACCCCTAACTCACGGCAATCCAGTGAATTACAACATATGAAAGTGCACTTCCACAACTATATAATTCACTACAGATAGGAGGCATTATTATTCTGTGGGTGGTAATTTTATGTACGCTACGGCAGGGATGGGCAACAAAAGAAAGAGGAAACTTGTACCTTCACCTGGAGGCTTGCGCGGCCAGCCCTCCCCAGTGGCAGCCACAGCCTCACGTAGATCTGGAAGGTAGGGGCCGTAGGTCCTTGTATGTCAGGGAGGAGTCCTGGTGACACTTACATGCCCAACAAATCCTCACACCCCACCCCAACCCAAAGTCCCCTCTTCACATGTCCTCCAGGCTGGGATCTGGACTGAATCAAGGGACTTGGAGAGTCACGTTATTTTTTTTTTAATTATAATTTTTTTCTTTTTATAAAAGCATATTTATTAAAGGAAACCTGGAAAATAAAGAAAAAATATAAAACTACTTAAAATCCCACATCCCAAAGAAACCACAATTAACATTATGGCAAATGTATTCCTTTTTTCCTTTTTTTTTTTTTAAAAAAAACTATTTTATATATATTCTACAGTATGATTTTACAAGGAAAACATAGTTGAAAACATGAAATTAATATTCTAGCCTACGACTATGCCATAATTTATTTAGCCATTTTCATACTGTTGAACATTATGTTTGATATATCACATATAATTTTTACTATTACATTATGTTACAAATACCACAGTAGTGAACAAATTTGACTATAAATTTTACTTGTGTCTCTGATTATTTCCCTGGGGTAAATTACCCTTCATGGAATCATTGGGCTAATGAGAATGAGCACTGTAAAGCTCTTGATATATTCAAACTGTCCTCCTGAAATGAGCAGCCCATTGCCTGTTATATGTACTTGTCCTCCCAGTATATATGACTGTTCATTTCACTGCCCGCATGTAATGATTGAGATCTATCACTTTAAGAAGGTTTAAAATCATAAATATTTCTCCAGAAGTTCAGGAAGCAAAAGCCTGTTCCCTCCCCTGGCACAGCCCAGCCTTAGCCAATATCAGGCCTCTAATGTAGAAGACAGTGTCATTTGCTTGACATTGTACATCAGCTTCAGTCTCTCAGATCTGTTATAGGGAAAGGCACATGTGGGTATTCTCACCACTTCCGTTCATTTCTATCCCGTGTGCTTCAGGAGAACAAAGGATCATCTTTTCATTGTCTCTGAGAAGCTTAATCCAATTGGGAGTCCAAACAGCAAACTTAAAAATACTTATCCTTGGATAGGTCACCTACATTCTCAAGGCCTGCTTCTTCTTTTACATGAGAGACTCAAAATTTGTCTCTCCCTAAAGAGTATCTGAAGTGGTTATCAGTAAACAGAGGTGTGTACATTGAAGGCCATTCGCTATCTAGATGTCTAAACTTAACTGTGAACACCATAATATGTTTTGTCACTTCTCGGGCAATGGAAGCACACCGGTTTAGGAGAGAAAGTCTCCCTGGGAAAATTTTCCAGTATGGCCTCTAAGGTTTCCTCTAGCTCTAACATCTGTAATTCCTAAGTAACAGATAAACTACCAAAGGATGAGAACCCCAAAGCAAAGGAATGGCCAATGGGCTTCACAGAAGGGTTTGTAGAATCATGACCAGAATTTTAAAGGTGTCTAATCTTTATCCTCATCCTGGTGCTAATTCCCCTTCCCCCACTCCAACACACATACACTGAAAGTCTACATTTGAAACACACCGAACAGGTTTAAAGGGTAAACAAGTTTGTGAGCCCTGGCCAAATAGTTCAGTTGGTTACAGTGTCGTACCAATATGCCAACGTGGCAGGTTTGATCCCTGGTCAGGGCACCTACAAGAATCAACCAATGAATGCATAAATAAATGGGACAACAAATCAATATCTCTCTCGCGCCCCCCCCCCCTTTCTCTAAGAAAAAAATAATAATGATTGCATGAATATTTAGCTATCCTTCACCACCTACACCTGCCAGAAATGTTAAAATTGTGTGACTAAACTACTGAGCTATACTGAGCAATTTCAGGGAGACTAGGCCAAACTTTGTGAGAAAGTCTGCCACCTGCCAACTAATCTTTCTCGCTGAGGTAGATTGTCCCTTGCATATTAACATAGAGTACATACTTCATAAATATTTTTTGGATTCCTCTCTACTCAGATTTTTTTGTCATTTTGTAATACCGGTTTGGCTTTGTAATTTAAAAAATATATATTTACATATGTTGGGACAACTTCCCAAACCTAAAAGCATGAAGGAATTATAATAGTTCCCCAAATGGCTGTAATCTCAATCTTGGAACAACACAGGCACTTTTTGACTATATTTCACACAGTTAAGAAGTCTCGTTTGCTAATAATATATTGGTCATTTGCCTTGCTTTGCGATTTGAATTGCAAACATGAAGAAAAAGCTGTATAACCTAGAACATAATTTTTCTAATTGATTTTCCCATCTTGTAAAAATCTGCCCTTTTTTTTTTTTTTTTTTTAAATTTCATACTAGAGGCTCCATGCACGAAACTCATGCAAGAGTAGGCCTTCCTTCCCCCGGCTGCTGCCACCTGCTTCCCTCTGGCCCCCAGGGCCCGGGCTTCCCTCGTAGACTCAGCTTCCTCCTAAAGGTCACCTGGTATAATTAGCATATTATGCTTTTATTATTATAGACCAGAGGCCCAGTGCACAAAATTCATGCAAGGAGATGTGGGGGTCCCTTAGCCAGGCCTGCACCCTCTCTCAATATGAGTCTGCTGGCTCCTAACCGCTCTCATGACTGCCTGCCTGATCACCCCTAAACACTCTGCCTGCCTGCCTGATCACCGCTAACCATTCACCTGCCTGCCTGATCGCTCCTAACTATCTCTGTCTCTGCCCCCGCAACGCAGCTTCATCAAGAATGACATCTGAAAGGTTGTTCAGCTGTCTGGTCTAATTATTATTATAGATAATCTCTGCTGGTTTTCCATGACTCTCTTTTCATTGTGGTAAAATATGTATAATATTAACCATTTTAACCATTTTTAGTTCTGAGGCATTAAATGCATTCACATTGTTGCCCTAGCTGGTTTAGCTCAGTGGATAGCATGTTGGCCTGTGGACTGAGGGGTCCTAGGTTCAATTCCGGCCAAGGGCACATGCCTGGGTTGCAGGCTTGATCCCCTGGTGGGGGGCGTGCAGGAGGCAGCCAATCAGTTATTCTCTCCCATCATTGATGTTTCTATCACTTTCTCCCTCTTCCTTCTTCTCTAAAATCAATAAAATATATATATATTTTAAAATACATTCACTGTGTTGTATAAATACCACCATCCATCTCCAAAACTTTTTCATCTTCCCAAATGGAAACTTTTTATCTTCCCAATAACAACCATCTTTCTAGTCCTTGTCTCTATCACTTTGACTATTTTAGGTTTCTCATTTAAGTAGAATTATACATCTGTTCTTTGGGGTCTGCCTTATTTCACTTACATTAATGTTTTCATGGTTCATCCATGTGTCAGAATTTTCTTCCCTGTTAGGGCAGAATAAATTGAATTATGTTTATATTCCACATTTTGTTTATCCAGTAGTGCATTTTTTAAAAAATATATTTTTATTTATTTCAGAAAGTAAGGGGAGGGCGAGAGTGATATGCATATGCCCTTGATTGGAATCGAACCCAGAACTTTTCAGTCCGCAGGCCAATGTTCTACCCACTGAGCCAAACTGGATAGGGCCATTCATGCATTGATAGACATTTGAGTTACTTCCACCTTTTGGCTATGTAGTTACTAATGCTTTTTTTTTTTTTTTTTTTTTTTTTTTTTTTTTTTTTTTTTTTTTTTTTTTAATATTTTATTGATTTTGTACAGAGAAGAAGGGAGAGAGAGAGAGAGTTAGAAACATCGATGAGAGAGAGTCATGATCAGCTGCCTCTTGCACACCCCCCACCGGGGATATGCCCGCAACCAAGATACATGCCCTTGACTGGAATCGAACCCGGGACCCTTCAGTCCCCAAGCCGGCGCTCTATCCATTGAGCCAAACCGGTTTCGGCAGTTACTAATGCTTTTATCATGGGTGTACAGATATCTGTTTGAATCCCTACTTTCAATTCTTTTGGGTATACACCTTGTGGGGGTGGAATTGGTGGATCAGATAATTCCATGTTTAACTTCTTAAGGAACCACTGTACTGTTTTCCATAGCAGCTGCACCATTTTACATTCCCACAAGCAGTGCACAGTTGTTCCAAGTTCTCCACACCCTTGCCTGCACTTGTTATCTTGGGGGTTTTTGTTTGTTGTTTT